CCGATAAAAAGGAAAGCGCGCGAAAATGATGTTTTATCGATGAAACAAGACACTGGCGTTTAAGATCGAATAAAAAAAGGACCAACACCATCTATAAAAAGTACATACATCATCGTCTCATCGGAGTCCGATGAACGCGAGATTTCGGGTGGATTCGCGCGGATCTATCCGAGTTTATCGCATCGCGCGGACATCGGGCAATATGCGGCCTGTATCTGATCGGGTGGAGAAAATATATATATATATATATATATATATATATATATGGTGGTGAAAAATTGACGGCGCGGTTAAAGGTCCGCGCAGGAGGCGGTTAAGCACGGTATTACGCGTCCCTTGCACGCGCGCCTTCCTTTCTTCTCTTTTCTAACACGGGGCCGGTTAGGTTGCGGCGATGCGACTTCATATTTTTCACGCTGCGAGAGAACGTATGGAAATAGAAGCAGAAATGAACGCGACCGTGACAGTCGTTCCCGGGATCTCCTCCGATGTCGTTTGCATTTCTCATAAGCGCGACCCTGTTTTTTCCTTCCATGTATATGTATATGCATTTTTTCTTTTTGGTTTTATATCGACCCCTCTTACGCGAGTCGGTGGCTCGCGAAAAGGGATGGCGAAGAGAGAGAGTGAGAGAAGGGGATGAAAGAGAGAGAGGGAGATATTTACGCGGACATATTCTGGCTGCGGGTTTCTAAAAGCGTTAGCAACGCTGTTATACGTAAAGCCATAAGATTAGAACGCGAAAGCTACGTATAAAAGCAGCTTGTAAGAGGCTATATTAGATGATGATATGTGCGGTCCTCGTATTATTAACATTACATAAGACACAAAAAGAGAAAGAGAGATACAATTTATTTGGCATTATATTTTCTTTAAGGGAATGCTGACCATGTCTGTTTTACCGACTTTCAATTCAAGAGTTTTTCTTTTTATTGGCTATACTGGTTGAAAAATCATTCTCCACAATTAAAGTACCGATAATAATGAACGGGGAGCGCTGTAATTTTGTATAAGAAACAATATACGTGAAAAAATTACAGTTTTTTTTATCGGCCTCTTGCATCAGCTCATAAGAATACTTATTTAATACAAAAGATCTGCAATTTATTTGTGCGCAAAATATGGGGCTCCCAATAGAGTTGACATGAAAGAATAATACAGAAGTAATAAAAATTAGATTAAAAGCTTGTATCGAAAGATTCGTACTTTTCAATCTGTACATTCAATAAAAAGTGAACCTAACCTAACTTAAAGTCGCTAAAACAGAACGACGGCAGCATCTCCTTAAAGATACATGCACGAATAATTATATCTCGGCCATTTTTGTCGAGAAAAAATAATTTTACGTTCGTCACTTTTTGTCGCGATAAAAAATAAGACTTAAAACGCATCTGTCGTAGCTATTTCTCAAATGTGTGCGATGTCAACAGAGAGTTATAGAATAATGCTCCGTTTAACAAGACAAACGACAAGATACACGAATGAATGCAGATTAATTGCAACGAGAAAGAGAAAGAGAGAGAGAAGGAAAGTCTCTCAAGGATCGTAACAAAAATTACACGGAACACTGAGCAGTATGAAGTAAAGAGCGCTACGGGAGAAGATAGTCGGTAAAAGAGACTGGAAACAAACAGTCAAGATAAATAAGAGGAAAGATTAAGACTAAGTCTGAACTACGTCAGGGAGAAGAGAGGCCGGGATATGCAACTCTTTAACATTTATGCATACTGCATCCTCGCGAGGGAGGAATTTGGAAGGGGATGAAGGAGTTCCTCTTCGATTCAACCCAGGAATGCGATCTTTCTCGAATGTTAAATTAAATTATAATTATTATTATTATCATCTTCATTATCATTAAAAGCATACCGGGTGTCCCCTCCTTCTCAAGTGCATATCTCTGATACACTTTCAAGCGCGCACACACGAGAACACGTGTTTGTGTGTTTGTAGGAAGATCGAGCTACGAGATGTCGACGCGCGTATAATTCTCTCGGGGCGTCATTAAATTGTATTAATCCACTTCCATCACGAAATTGAAGTTTATACGCGATAAACGTACGTATATCCGCCGCGAAGGGGTTCCCCCGTGTCGTTATCGATCTCGCGATAAATTCTTTTTTCTCTCGCTCGTCGATATCTCGCGCGAGGATCGCGCGTAATTCCCCTCCTTTCATCATGTATTCGCCCGAGGGGACAGCGCGACGAACAAAGTCAAGTCAATCGTGAAGGATGTTGCCCTATATCGTTCCTACCCGCTACTGATAGCAAATATTTTAATCGCCGATTTCTTATATTTTATACAAGGGGGATCGATTACGTCAAAGACATTCCGAATCTCCTGCGGGTGATAATCCTTGCGAAATATCTTTCCATATCTTCAAAATATATAGACATTTATACATGTCGCTGCCCCCCTTTTTCCTATATATATATATATATATATATATATATATTCTTTTTCTATTTATTTATTTTGTTCCAAATTTTCAGAGCGTTATTACACCGAAACAATTATTACTAAATATTTATTTCAATACTGCTTAATAAATATCATTTATTTGAAACAAATAAATATTTATATGTTTTGAAAATGATTTTCTATCAAATAAATATTCGAATTCAATAAATTGTTTTTCAATGTACATGACTATATTCACACTTTTTATTATATATATATATATATGTTCTTTTTCCAATTAATATTTCTTTTGTTCTTTAAATTTTCAGAGCATTATTACACTGAAATAAATTATTAATAAATATTTATTCAATACCGCCTAGTAAATTTTATTTCAAACAAATAAATATTTATCTGTTTTGAAAACAAATTCTTATATCAAATAAATATTCGAATTCAATATTTTTTTCAGTATAGATGACTCTATATTGGCACTTTTTATTATATATATATATATATATATATTTCTAATTAATTATTTATTTTGTTCTCTAAATTGTCAGAGCATTATTACACTGAAATAAATTATTAATAAATATTTATTTCGACACCGCCTAATAAATCATTTATTTGAAACAAATAGATATTCGATTTCAATAATTTTTCTCAGTGCAGATGACTCTATATTGGCACTTTTTGTTAAAGAATGGAGTAGATGCTTGATCAATGGACAGAGGCAAGTTAAGCATCCGCGATGCATTAACAGTGCATAATTAGTTCATACGGCACTGCTCTTTAGTACTAAGCTCCGACTTATACCTTTATTCGCGTTTCCGACAATATCCCGCTTATTTATCCCATATCGCGAAATGAGTTTCACGGGAGCGAGTGTTTGCACGAGAGAGGGTGCAACGGAATTAGACGGGGATAGGTGCGAGTTCTCGGAAATGCATATCTCGTACGCGCCGCAATCGTTTCGCGAATTGAAGAGCGTTGGGGAATAAAAAAAAAGAAAATCCGGAAACCGGGATAATGTTCGGTGGCGCGCGAAGTAAAAGCGACAACATACTTTCTGCCCGTTGTGCTGTCATCTATTTTTTTTTTTTTTTTTTTTTCACGCCTTTTACATCCCCGTAAACCGAGTTCTACTCTCTTTCGAATCGCGCGTTGAATCTCTCTCTCTCTCTCTCTCTTTTTTCATAAAGCTTATGTATGTTTATGCGTGGACATTAAGAGACGAGAGGACATTCACGTAAAATCCGCGCTCGCTCCCCAGAAATAATTTCGGACGCTTTGGCTTTTACGAAATTTTAAAGGATTCCGACGACTCTGCCATTTTGTCCTCGACGAGGATGGAAAGATGTACGAAGCTGCAAACGGGTTTTTAAACCGTCATTTTAAATTCAATAAGAGAAAAAGACATTTGCAAAATTGCAAAATGGTCTTTTACATTATTCGGCGCATAAATGCGCGCTCTCTCTCTCTCTCTCTATATATATATATATTACTAGCATCAATTTTATATCGTGGATTTTATAATTCAATTCTTCAGATAGATATCATATCCGCGAATCGGATATCGGATATAATCGTACTTTTAAATTTTTTTCTAAGACTCCGAGATCCTAAAGCATATTTTATCGCTTCTTTAAACCATCTCAAACACTTGAGTATTCAACGGTTACACTCTCCGCAAACTCGAATGCATAAGTCACTCGCGGGCCTGCTTAAAAATTCAGAAACTCAGCACTTTAGTTATTACCAATAGAACGTCATTCTCGTCGCGGCGGAATAAATGTATGACTACTTTCAAACGGCTAGTGCGGCAAGAATCAGTAATATCAGCCCAGCCCTTCTCCACCCAAAGTATATATCTCTCCTATTTCATAACTTTCCTAATTTCGCGAACGGGGAGGAGGGAAAAATAGCGTGGACTCTCGAGAAGAAGGGAAAAAAAGGAAAAGAAAAACTTTGCGCCATTATCGGCGAATAAAATTTAGCGAATATCGACGCGACAATCGAGGGAAAAAAATTCTTCGAATGAATTAAATATTCCCAAAGTTTGCAAAGCACGAGCGAGGCAGGGCAATTTACGCAAATTTATCGGGAAACTCCAGACGAGATACTTATGTCCGACAACGGTTGAAATGATAAGAGTGCGTCGATTCCCTCCTTCCCACCCCCTATACGTGGTTCCAACAATTTCCGATGGCTACCTTCCAGATAGCGGACTGGACGTGCGCGTTATCGCGAAGCGCTCATATAATAGCGGCCGCAAATAGGCCATCGACGTTGCGAACAAAAGCAAAACAGCGCGTCCCGCGATGGTTAAGCAGGCCCCGGCGGATATCCGAAACGCCGCGCATTCCCGACGCGGATCGTCGACGATTAATCGAATCGATCGAGAGCAGCGCGACGAACACGTCTCGTTCATATATATATATATATATAGAGAGAGAGAGATTTCCCACTCTAACGGAACGCGAGTTCGACAAAGGCACCGATTGCATGCGTCAGCGCACGAGGCGCCGGGGGTCGACGCAAAAACCAAACGGCGGTGGTAGAAGTGCAAAACATACTGTGCAATGCAACGCACACTTACCCCCGATCCATCCGAGATAGAACAATAACACGCTGGTCAGACCGATCCCACGGGTCCAATCCATGATGATCCAGGCTGATTTCTTGCCGTCTCCGGGAGTCGAGTTCTATAGGAGTTCCTCACCTGCTCTGAGGGAAGAGAGACGAGAGTTAACGGGACACGCAGACAACGTGGTTCTCGCACAGGGAACGTGTGTGTATGTGTGCGATCGAAGATCAACCGCACTCCGTAACTCCGTGTTTCTCCGATCGCGCACAATTCCACCTTCTCTCTCTCTCTCTCTTTCCGCGTGGGACGAGATAGATTCACATAAAAAAAAAAATCACTCGCTCCAATACGATGTGCAATTTCGAGGCGATCTGTCCTCTCTCTCTCCTTCGCTCGCCGCGAGTTCCGCGCGCCGACTGAGAGAGCAGCACTCTTTCGAGGGGCACCGCGGCGCACTCACTGCCACTGTCAACCCTCTGACGACGACGACGGGGGCACAACACGCGTCCCGATCGTGCGGCGAGCACGCGTCGCGCGGAAATAGCGGGTGCCACAGCGGCGAGAAGGCATTCGAGGGGGAGCGCAGAGGAAGAGTGAGAGAGAGCGCTGCACCGCTCTCGTGCCCCACGGTGATCGCGTGAGTGCGGAGTAGTGGCGGCTCGGCGAAGCCCTACGGGGCTTCGGAAAACGTGGGGAAGCGGGACGCGCTCCCCTCCACCCACGCGGCGCGGCACACTGGTGTAACCAACCCCTCCCACTCCTTTTTCTCTCTCTCGGTCGTTCGCACGCGCGCGCCCGAGAGTGCCCGATGTTGGGGAAGCGCGCGCGACCGAGATAGGGGAACCCCCCCGAACAAACCCGAACGGAAGGGTGAGGGAAGGAGGTTTCCGCGGGCGCCTGTGCGGGAGCCGCACTCTACGCAACGACGTAAGACGAGTCTACGAGTGCAGGGTGCGGATAGGAATGCGCTCGTTGCGTTTCGAAGTATCCCTCTAGAATACTTTGCGCTTTCGACGCTGACTAGTTTTGGCAGAGATGCCTCGCTTTCGATATTGCGATTGCGAGGTATAGATAGATCCGGAATAGAAAGCATATCTGGATATGAGACGAGTATAGTGTCGGAAAAAAAATAATATACAGGGTGTCTCAGAAATCTAGCGGTGCACACCTGTTAACGATAGATTCCGGGGATAATTTGGAGACAATTTTTCCTCCATGATAAGGGATTGAAAATAAACTAAGCTTTGCGGATATCGGGAAAAAAAAGATTGAGTTTGCTTTAATAGGATTTTAATTTAAGGGTTAATCACGAAAATACATGATGGCGAAAATTGGAAACATGCCAAAAAATAATGTCCTCTCTTTGCTATCAATTTCAAATAATTTGGAGTGCCAAAATTTGACGGTAAATATCAATGCATCGATTGAGTTTATTTTTTCTTCTTGTCGAGAGAAATTGTTACAAATAAGATATCGATACTTTCGGAGGAAGATGGCCTCGGATATCTTGTAGCGCGATATCGAATGACTGGCTGAAAGTATCGGTATTCTATTAAGAGTCTAAGCGCCCCTACTCCGAGTGAGTAAAAGCACACACACACATCCGCAGTTAAAGTTAAGTATTCCTTCAGTCCGTGGGAAAGGAGTAGGATACATCGAAGCTGCTGTCTGTATCGTTTCGATTTTAGCGGGGCCCGAAAAGTTAATCCCCTTCCACTACACTCTTCTCGGTATCACTTAAACTCCGGTTAAACTCTTTCGTAATGCGGTCTACATTCGAGCGAATTCGATATAAATGCGCCGAGTTGTATGGAACGTTTTTCTTTCGAACTTTAAGTTATGTGGCACCAAGTCAAATACATATTTACCGTACTCTCTCTCTCTATATATATATATATGTATATATATATATATAGAGTATATAGTGATACATTGCGAAATCTTGTCTGCGAGGCATCAAGATTGCCTCGCGCGTTTCCAAGTGCCTTATAGAAAGATGTATCAAAGAGAGACGATGCATTACCAAGCCAAGTTGAGAACATATGGAGCTGCAATAAGAATTTTTTTGATTGCAGCGAGTAAAAGGAAAAACAAAGAGCTGAGAAGTGTTTCAGTTACTTCTCCGCCACCTCGTGTTAAATGATTCCGTGTTCAAGGGACGCTTATATCGAATTCCATCTAGCATGTACGGCGTCAGGTTGCACCTGAAGGCGTAGTAAACCGAATGAGAGCGGCGAGGGATGTAATCGTAGAGAAGGACCGAGGCCTGTGTGCGTGCATACGCGTCTATATATATATATATGTGTGTGTGTGTGTGTGCGCGCGCGCGTGCGCCGCCGAGTAAAATACGAGGGATACGTAATGAGAATTTGTAATATCAAAAATCAAAGGCGGGCATCGCCGGGAAAAATGCATTCGCTCGATCAATACCGCACTTTTCGCTCCTCTCCGCGACTAGGGCAAACAGATAGATGTATGTGGAGCATGAAAAGCAATGTTGTGTTTGCGGACGTCAGGTACAACTATCCTGTGACGGATTTATAGGATACGCGGGGCCCCACTTTTCCGCAAGATCCTCTTATTGACCTGTCAAAATATTGAGATCCAGTTTGCGGGAGTTCTTAAGCGTCGAAACGCTTCTGGCTAGAGTTGCAATTAATTCGCAAATACCACGCATATCCCGATATATAAATTACTGCTAATAATAATAATAACAATAATAATAATAATAATAATAATAATAATAATAATCACCACTAGTCTGCTTTCAATAACCCCTATTACGATAACTGCGTAATTAATCGCGATTGATTGCAATTTCACGAAAATTACATCAACCCGCGCACATTTTTTTTTTCCCATACATTTATCCCCTTGTGTTTCAAGAGTCAGTTAATTCGAAACAACCCGGGGCGCGATTCTTACATCTCGTACTGTGCGCGCGGTGGAAAAAAAAAAGAAAAAGAAAAAGAAAAAACTGAAAAAGAAATAATTACTCACTGGCACACTTTTCTCCCTGGCTCACCCCTTCCCACCCTCTCGCCACCCCTGGCTTCCTCCTTCCTTTATTTCGGAAACACGAAGCCCTTGAGCTCCTAGCATCGCGCTTCCGTATCCGTAAATCCCTCCGAAGTAATCAGAGAACCGCACTATTCGCCCGCGTCACCCTGTCTTGCAGCAGCAACCCCCGTCCGATTCCATCCCCCGGCCACCTCGTCTTCGCGTCCGACACGTCCGTCCTGGTTTCCCGCCGCGCCGTCGCGGGTCAAAACACGCGATTCCGCAAGCGAGAGCTTCCGTTTACGCGCGGACCCGAAATCCCCGAACGAACAAGGGAGTCGTTTGTCTCCCTCTCGGTTTGTGGGACACGTGTACATACGCGCGCACAATACACACACACACACACACACATGTATTGTGTTACGGGAGAGTATCAGATTAAGGGTCCGCCCGCGCGCCGAGAGACTAACGACGGGACTAGCGATGCGACAGGGAGATAGACGTTGGCCCGATACCATTGTCGCGGTCTATCGTGACCAGCCGCGTCGCCAGTCAACACCGACAGCGAGGACACGGCGATTCCCCTTTCGCGCCCGTACAGAGGCCGCGCGGGACCCGCGTCGACGTGTAATGAAATTACTCGATCGGACGTTCCGCCTGGTTATCGCGCGCCGTATGATAATAGACGCGGACATGTATGTAGGCCGAATCCTAATTTCGTGTTCTGGGGTGGGAGTGCGTTTCTAAGGAGGAGGTCTCTCCCTTATCTCGCTCGTGTCATCGATAAGACTGTAATTTCGCGATATCGTAGAATGTATATATATATATATGTGTGTGTGTGTATAGAGCTGGATTAAAAGTACATACACGCTCGGCGAATTTTCTTCAATTACAGGTAGTGTATATAAGGTTCGCGATTATAGTCCGGAGCGTAATTCCGGCAACGGCGCAATTGACGTATCGGAGTGTCGATACCGCGAGAGTGTAACGAAGTTATTTGATACTCGGCACGAGACACAAACATTAAGGGAGCCGCAACAATCGCGGCTACGGTGTTTGCGCAGTGGTGGAGTACAAGGATGCAGCCTTGCGGGACGTAATTCTCCAAGACGTTGATGACGTCGCGAACATGATGAAATTACGTAGTAGTTAGCCCGAATCAAATTGATGTGGTGGTATGTGGTCGCGTATGACCAATAAAGACTAAAGTAGGTCTCTTATTTAGAAGGGGATTCTAAACGCAGTTTTGTTTTATCGATCAAACTTTTTCTTTTTATTGATTCAATAGAATAATTCATGTTTCTCCACGATTAAGGTACAATATGTTAAACAAATTTTCTTTCCGCCAATTCAATCAATAAAGAGAAAAAGGTGTATTAAAATGATCCCCTTGCTGACCAAATATGTTTTATCGATCAAAAAAGTGAAGTTAGATTCTGATGCCTCCCAGTTTGTTAGTATAATTCTTTGTAATCCTAATATAATCCTTTGGGCAAAAAGTATTAATATTAACAAATTGGGGGGCATCATAATTTCAAGAATAAACAATTCGTACAGTCAATAAAGTAGTCGAATCTAATCTTACTTTTTCGATCGATAAAGCATATTTGGTTAGCGTTCCCTTAAGGATATTAATTGTAGGACTCATATTTATTAGATCTCTTTTTCTCATTTTGGTCAACACTCTCCGTTCTCAAAATATGTAACACCCTTTTTTTTCAACACCCTATATACCTCCCATTTGTTAATATTAATACTTTAATTGTCCAAAGGATTTACCAATCTGTCCAATCAATCAAAATATAGGCACTTGAACTTATAAAATTACGAGTTCGTGCTTATATTTTGATTGACTATACAGATTGATAAATCCTTTGGACAATTAAAGCATTAATATTAACAAATGGGGGAAGGGACATCATAATTTCAAGAGTAAACCATTCGTATATCCAATTATAGTCGAATCTAATCTCACCTTTTCGATCGATAAAACAGACATGGTCAGCATTCCCTTAAATACGAATCAAAGAGTTGGCGGAAAAAAAAAAAATGAAATCCAACATCCAGTCGGCAGATCGCGCGGAATAAATAAATGAATAAAGTATAACAAATTTCGGGAGCCCCAACTGCTCGCTGATGG